TGAGCTTTGTCTTGTGAATTGAGGGATCAACCTTGTCGAACTAGGTCTGATTTCGAGCTTGTATCATCCAAGTAATACCCCTATTCGTGGCCAAACAAGGAATACACCAATTGAGCCTCTTTCCCATCGTGAAAATTGCACAAAAGGTCACCCCACATAGACACACACACACCAACTCTGTTTTGGTGTTCTTTGTATTCGAGGTCAATCTTTGCAATTGATCTTTGGTTGTGCTTCTTTGAAAAAAAATCAACCCTTAGTGGGTTATCAGACGGTGGGTAGTACCCATTGAAATGAGCTATGTTCTTAAAGCCCCAGATACAGTAACCATGAAAGCCCACGAAAAAGATCTCACTCACCACATTCACTATACCCAACTTATTTAGACATTGCATAGTAGACCTAGACTAGGGTGATGGATGGTTCCATGAAGTACTTGCTTTTATCCTTATCTATTCTCTCTACGAGTCATGTCGCTTGAATCCTCCATCACAACCCCTTAAACCGATCGGCTAGATAACAACAAGGTGGGAAGTAGGCTAGGGTACCAGGACCCGAGTGAATACGACCTTGATTGCCACTATATGACAATGCATTTTAGCAAGGACCAGGAAACCGGATCGTACCGTCCGGTTCAACCGGGAACCGGACCAAAAAATGAAACGATAGGCTGTTAGGGGACTTTTTACCGTGTCGGCCAGTTTTTTCGGGTTAACCGGCACAAAGCGATTAACCGCCCGGTTTTGTTCTAACCGGCGGTATCCTATATACAATAAAAAATGTTGTCGTTCTAAAAAAAAAAATGGTGTCCAAAGTCCAAACAACGAACGCCCAAAATCAAAGCATTGGAGGAGGTTTTCATCGTTTCTTTCTTCTCCAGCTCTGCTCTTCGCCGCCCCTCCTCTTCTCTTCTCCTCTGGTGAGTGGCGACTGACGACCCGCGACCGGAGAGATCAACGGGGAGACCGGCGAAAGGTCTAGTCGATCCATGCACCTCTCCGTCGTGCAGCCGCACCGCCGTACCTCTTATCTTCTCCTCTGGCAAGTGGAGAGTGGCGATTGGAGACCCACAAGGCCACGATTGGAGAGATCAATTAGGCACTGCCTTTGATTTTGCTTTGAGCGCGGGGAGTGGGGGTGAGATTGGTTTTGCAATCTGATGCCTTTTGTGGGGGTGGCGGTCCGTTTTCTTCGGTGGTGGCATGGATCTTCCGGGGGGTGGAGTTGTGTGGGTGTTGTGGTGGTTTTTGGCGATGTTTTCTCTCTTCCATTTTTGGGGTTGGTTGGTGTCTGAGTGGTGGGGTTTTCCGATGGCGGTGCGGCAGTGTTGGTTGGTGGCTGTCTTGGATGATTGTTGCGATGTAGTGGTGTGTGTTTTTCCTTTGGGCTAGGGTTGTTGTTGTGCTTTGTTTCGGCTTGGTTGGCTTGTGTTTGGGCTTTTTACGTTTGTTTCTTGTGTGGGCTTTTTACGTTTGTTTCAAGTGCAAATTTTGTTTAGCACTGGTAGGTGGGGAAAGGTCGAAAGGGTCAAGTGGTAGGTGGGAAATTTTGTTTAAAATTTCTTCTTTTTTCTATTAATTTGCTAACTACTTCTATTTATTCATTTATTATCCGGTATATTCCGATACATCCGGTATTACTCCGATACGATACCCTAATTTTGGCGCCACCGTTTTTTGACAAAAAATATATTATTATTACAAAAACGATATTTACCGGTACGAAATGGTTGAACCACGGTCGTACCACAAAATACCCTACCAGAAAGGAATCTGGTATGATGTCCGGTACGGTTTCCTTTACCATGCATTTTAGGTTAAACTTGGCCTAGAATGGGGTAATTATTGAAACGTGCTAACTATTGACAATGACTTGCACGGAATGAATCGATCAAGCTTTTTGGCGCCGTTGCCGGGGAACCTCGGTAACTAGAAGAAAACCAACAAGTTGTTAGTTTAGCCTTTATATCCTTTGTTTTGTCTTTGTTTGTGTTTTTGTTATTTTCGTAGTTTTAATCGTTTTGCTTTTTATTATCCAACTTTGTGTGTCACGGGTTGTTGAGTTTGTGTCTTGTAGCACTTTTGTATGCGAAGAAGGGACTCTTTGGAATCTACCTCTTGATATATAAATCGAGATACTACCTCTTGATACATAAATTGAGAGAACCCTTGGAATCTAAGAAGAGTTGTAAGGCATCAACCTCCACCAATGACTGATCAACAACGACAATCTCAAGTTCCACCAAGGCCTAGAACTAGAGGTGGCAATTAGGATCCAAATCCATGAATCCAATCCAATCCATCCACCAAATTATCCATCTAATCCAATCCATTTAAATCCAATCCATTTGATCCAAATCCAATTGAATTGGTGGATTCATGGATCCATCCATGGATCCAAATGACAAATTACGATTTAGTACTTACATTTTTTATATTTTACATTTTGGTACCTAAAATTTATATATTTATACGAAAAATATCATTGGAAAATTACATTTTGGTACCTAAAATTTTTCATTAAGACATTTTAGTACCTAAACTTTTCAAAATTTACATTTTGGTCCAAGCCTTGGATGTCATTTGGATTCATGGATCAATCCACCAATCCATTGGATCCAATCCATGAATCCACCAATCCATTTGATCCATGAATCCACCAATCCAATCCACGAATCCACGAATCCGATCCAATTGCCACCTCTACCTAGAACAATTAGGGCTGGGAAAATAGACCAGACCGTTAGAAAAACCGTGGTCCAAACCGTACCGCACAGTTTGGTCCGGACCGTAGACCGTGAAGTATGGTCTGGTCTGGTCCATGGTCTGTATTATTTTATGATTTGATCTCTTGGTCTGGTCTGGTCTAGACCGCGGTTTACCGGACCAAACCGTAGACCCAACTGACTTGTCAATACGTGTTAACAACCCATTCGACCACTCTCCAAACTCCCACAACGGCACCAAGTCTCAACCTTAATTTTGTGAATCTCTTCCCTCCTTCATTCACAACCACATTTAACCACAGAGTAGAGATAATCGTGTCTCCATATGACATTATGTTAATGTTTATGACATTATGGTGCAAGCTGGGATGCTTTTACTTTGTATCTTTGTTATGTACTAAGATTTAGAGTATCAAAATTATTCATGCATGTTAGGATTAATGTTTCAAGGCAAATAACAATTATTTTTCTTGGTTATTGGTTCAATTTTTTGTGTGGTTGACTAAACAAATTATTCATTTTTCGTTGAGTGTGGTCTATCTGGACCAGACCAGACCGAACCAGACCGCACAGGCGTGGTTTGGACCAGACCGTATAGTCTGTGGTCTGGTCTGTGGTCTATACTTTAGCCTCTCGGTCTGGACCGTAGACCGTATATATGGTCTGGTCTGGACCAGACCGCACCGTTTCCCAGCCTTAATGATTGTGAAGGGATTTGAAGAAAGCAACAAGTGCCCAGAGTTCTGAGGTAAATTGGAATTGGGAGATTATAGGTTGAATGCTTTGGGAATCAGATTGGGAAGAGAATTTGAGATTGAGTTTAGCCTGAAGAAGAAGGATAGAATGAGCAACAAGGAAAGAGATGCAGCAGTCAAATGGTGAGTGCTATTTGAAAATACTTGCATATAAATTGATACTCTTCCTAGAATGATGGTAATGATAATTATGCTTTCGACATCCACATGCAAGGCAAAAGAATTGACATATTGAAATCCTATGATCGATTATCCACAAATTATGTTTTTATGAAAAGTGAAAATGCAATTGTAGGGCAAAATAAATGAAGAAGATGAGAAGAGAAATGCAACGGACGAAGCAAGAAGATGATGCCATATTGTTTTAGATAGAATGAGGAATAGTATTGCCGCAAAAAAATAGTGTTTTCAAGAAAGTATGAGAATGGTTTATGAGAAAGTAGATGAGATCTTACAAAAAAAGTAAATGAGATAAGGATGAGCGATTATTGGCGTAGAGGAACGATAAAAGGACACAATATGTTCTTTTCTTCATTTAGTCGATGATATGCACCTTTAGTCCTATAGGTGTCTCTTTAATGATGAAATTTCTGATCCAACAGCACAAAACCTAAAACCCAACAACAATGAAGCGCGACTTACATGAAATAGATATTTTTTAATGAATAAATGAAGGACTATCATATGAATTGCAAATAACATGCAAATGAATTTGTTGTCTAGTGACTTGTTACTAGAAGATTCAGTTACTCTGTATTCTAGTCTTAACAACTTTGTTATACAAGTCTTATTGTGCTTTCTCTTCTTTAAATATAGTAATTTGTCAAGTTCAAATCATCCCATTTATAAATCGAAGAGTTAAACCAACTCATCTGGAAGTTTAGAGAGCTAACTGAGAAAGGCATAAAAGTTTGGAGATCCAATCGAGATTGCTAAGATTAAGAAACGAAGTCATATGTTAATTAAATTTAATAATTAATCTGCAACAATGTTCCCCTTGCCTGCCTGCCAAGGTTGGCAACCCGCGGGTTGACCCACGGGTCGATCCAATTTGACCCTGACCCGGTGAGAAAAACGGGCCGCACGCACCCGTCGGACCGACCGCTATTAGGTACCGGGTTGGAGGTCAAATTGTATCATTTTTTTTCTTTAGTTTGCGAAATGCGCCTATTTTCCAAGTTTTCTTTTCGCCTAACTCAATCTTTGGAATACTAAGTTGAACATTTGAATATTTATGTTATATAAGTGTGTGTGAATTTTCACTATATGTTGGATCTAAGTACGATATGTTATTTTGGTGTAATATTATATGTTATAACTCATATGTTAGATAAAATTTGATATAATTTATGAGGATAAGTGCAATATAATGACTCTTTCTATATTTCCGGGCCAATTCGAGCTAAAACGGTTGACCCATTAACCCTTGACCCACTAGCTCGACCGGGTCCGGGTCAACCCGCGGGTTGACAACCTTGCTGCCTGCCCTGCCTCACTAATGCAATTTTTCGCTTTTTCACCAATTTCCCTCCCGCAATTACAGGAGTGCTTATATCGGCTCTCCATCTCCTCTCGCCCTCCTCCCTCTTCTTATCTTTCTCAAATACACTTTTCTTCCTTGTCTGATTCGATCCAATTGGCCGCAGCTTCCCGCGAATTCGTGAAACCTAGGGTTTCACTGCGGAACCACACGTTCATTCCCTCGCGCGCTGATAATAATATCTTTCGTGGGTTTTCCATTTCCGTGATCTCGTTGAGGGGACGAACGGGGGATTGTTTGGTTTGGAGAGGACGTGGGGGAAGAATACTCTTTTCTCGAGGCGTTAGGGTTTGTGTCTGCTCTACAGATCTGAAGTCGGAGTTACTGGGACGGACAGGCGATTGATTCCCTTTGGTGAATTGTAGAAAGATGTTTTGGCGTATGGCTGGCCTCTCCACTGCTTCGCCGGTGACATTTCTCGACCTTGTTTCCCCCCCACGCATTGCATGTTTCCTTTTCTTTTGATTCCTGTACTTGAGGCGAAGAAAACGTGGGTTACGTGAGAGCTCGTGTAGGATTGGCAACCGGCGTTAGGGGTTGTTTCCGGCTTACGTGGCAATGCTCTATGCATTGAATGGAAAGTGTAGTGACGGAGAAATAAGTGGAATCTTGGATTGGAGTCATCGTTAGTGTTCGGAAACTTCAACTTCTTTGCCTAATTTGAGACTGAATTATGCGTTACATTGGGCATTTAGCTTTGCACTTCTGATAGTAACTGGGTGTGAGGTCAGATTTTGTGGGTTATCAGTTTTCCACCCTTTTCCAGCTGGGAGATTATTTCTTCAGTATGGTCAAGGAGTGTGGTTTTTCGCTGAACCAGAACATTTGAGCTGTGTTTTTTTATCTTCCATACTAGTGAAATAATTTCATTCAGTTTCGGCTTCTCAAGCTATTTTGTGTGAAACTGCAGGTGGAGACAATATTGGACAAAGATAATTTTACTCTAGAGGAACTGCTGGATGAAGATGAAATAATTCAAGAATGCAAGGCACTCAATGGGCGCCTGATCAACTTGTATTGCTCTTTCCACTGTGCAGCTTAGACATTGTTATTATGTTTTCCCTTATATGCATGTACAGCAAAGACCTGACAAGTTCGGGTGCCATGTCAAAAAAAGACTGATTGTTACGAAATGCTTTAGATAACGGTAAAAGAGTTGCATCATTTTATATTTGTAAGGTCTTTACCATGATTTATTTTGGATCAAGACACAAATTAGTAGGTAAATTTGTCTGTTCTGATAACTTTGTTGATCCCATAGTCATGAGATAGAACTTTAGAGGCCATGTTCTGATAGTACACCTGATCTCGGCTCCCTTATAAAGCGGTTGCTAGAGAACAAATCTCTTTTCTAGCCTTGTCCATTGATACAACCTTAGTTCTTCACAGATTATCTATTTCATCTTCAGTATCTTACTGGTTGCCGATTTGTTATTGTTGCTTTTGAAACTATTTATTTACTGAATTATTTCGTTGACTTCACCTTTTCCATTTTCTGGCTTCCCCCCTTTTTTTCCTATCTGAAATCGCAGTTTGCGAGAGAAGGCTCAGGTGGAGCAGTTGATTCGATATATTGTGGAAGAGCCGACAGAGGATGCTGAGAAAAGGCGGGCGTTCAAGTAAGTTTCTTTGGCATTTGTTATCCTGCTTCTTCCGTATGTTTCTTCTTTTCCTTTTTCCTTAGACGAGCATGGATTTTCTGATTTCTCTGTATGCTTAACTGATGCTGAGTTTCATGCTCAGGCTCCCGTTTATTGCTTGTGAGATTTTTACTTGTGAAGTTGATATCATACTGAAAACATTGGTAGAAGACGAAGAGGTAATTAGAAAAGCCATTCCTATCTTACCTGATTTTCTGTACCGATATCTCCTATTCTCCAAGGTACAACTGTGGTTGCTGAGCTTTCTAGTTCCCTTTTCAGTTGATGAACTTGTTGTTTTCGTTCTTGGAGCCAACCCATTCCCATGGGACACTGTTAGCAGGCTACTTCAGCAAGGTATCTTCTGGTGAAAGTTTGATATGCTACTATCATAATGTCTTTCGCTCTAATATATCTCTGTTTGGGTGAATTCATCATTTACTGAAACAAAACCTTTTGTTGCTAGGTTTGTATATGCCTTTTGCTGCGAAAGACGGTTCCTTTCTTAAACCATGTCAAGGTAAGTTTTATCCTCACATGAAGGGAAATCCCTGATTGAATGCTGTCATTAGGTATCAATTATTAATGGATGTAGTCCCTCATTCAGATCTTTGTCTGGTACAATTTTCCTGGGAAGGAAGTTTGAAACTTGTTCCACTGAAGTATTTATGAACTATATGGGAACTCTTTGTGCTGTGCATAAGGTTGGTCTAAGTATCTTTTTTAACGTGGTTCTTTCTGGCTTCAACTTGGAAGTGACGTTGTTTACTTGCTGTTTTTCCTTAATTCTTGGCCTGTATTTCAACCCTGGAAGGGGGGACGCGGGAGGGTACTTTGCAGAGGCGAGAAAATGGTGGTGCTCTTCTAATTGACAGTTGCATGCTTAAAGTTCTTTTCTTTCCAGTTAAATTGAATGTATATGATATTAAAGCTGTGCATAGGATGTTATTACAGGTTTTAAGATTATTAAACATCACTGAGATGTGGAGAATTGAAACGGTTACCCACGAACGTAAACTGAGAAGTGCTTAATTTTTTTTTTGTTGGACATGTTTGGTAGTGAAGTAGGCAACTTGTGTTGCAGTGATTTGACCGGGATGAGTTTTAACTTTGAAATTTGCTCATACCGAGTTCTGTCTTCTGTTGACAAGTGCACACCATTTTCCGAGTGGGAAGGAGGTCACCTGTTGTCTGTGTCGGAAAATAGTCATTGTAAATTTGACATCTAAGCACTTCTTATCCAGTTATTGCGCGTTCCAAACCTTATACTAGTTCTATCGATTGGTAAGACGGCAGAACATTTGTTAAATTATAAGTTAGGTCACCAGAATGCGAGTGTTAGTTGATTTTATATTTGTATTAGTAAGGGCATATTCTGTTGGTTGGAATGTACAGTGTATTCATTAGTCACTAATAACGATAGAACTTCTGTATTCTTGGTGTAAATATGGCTATTAATTTGCTTTCCTTATGTTACGTTTCAGGGTCATCAGGAAATTCTTGCAAAGCTGGTTGACCTTATTGGTATTACCTCTATTATGGAGGTGGGTTGTTTGTCACATGCGTAAATTTGGAAGTATGTTTACTCCGCTACTTGCATGGTAGTATTAGCAGCCAGTTATTTTATTTCTTATGATGCCACATTTCTCTTGAATTAAACCTTTCCTTATAAAAACATGTCTGATTCTGTCTTCCTAAATCTTGGGTGCATTTGTTTATCAGGAGTTAAGTTGGAAAATAGTTCAACCAAACACACTACTTTAATCTACATGTTTAGAACAACTATTCCTGGCAGACTCCACAAATTATTATAAGCGTAATGATACATTACTGTAAAGTCGTATTTCCAACTTTACCCCTTCTAAATGAGAATATAGGTTTTAGTTCCTTATAAAAAAAAAGAACGGACAAGTGTGCCGGGTATGTCTTGATGCATTGCTTTTCTAGCTAGGGAGAAATTGAAATGCTGCTTGTCTAACATTCTCTACTTATGTTAATATACAATCTTAAAAGGCATTATCCTCTTTGTAAGTTCTTCATAAAGAAATCCGTCTAACCTTTTTCTTCTTTGAGAATCCAAGAAATTGATATAGCTCAATTTTTTAGCTGGACTTGATGCAATCCAATTGGTAAAAGCTTTTGTGTATTTTCAATTTCTTTGTGCAGGTTTTAATCCGGTTAGTTGGTGCTGATGAGCATTTGTACTCGAGTTACGCAGATGCCATGCAGTGGATACAGGATACAAGTGTTCTGGAGTTGATTGTCGACAAGTTCAGCTCATCTGTAAGTTGCGACTTGCGAGTACTTCCACGTGGATGAATTTTATGTTTTTTCGTGCTATTGAATGAATTTATTTTCCTGGGTTCAAATCAAGTAGTCCACCAAGCAATTCTGATATGCGTTGCATTCTGCAGGATTGTCCAGAGGTGCATGCTAATACGGCTGAGACCCTTTGTGCAATAACCCGATTTGCTCCCCCTGGTCTTGCTACCAAAATATCCAGCCCAAAGTACGAAGCTTGCTATTTTTTGTCTTTACATTTTTGTATTCTCACTAGCTCCCTTTCTTGATTTGTTGATATGCTTTGCTTTCTGGTGATGCAGTTTCATTGGAAGGTTGTTTCGACACGCTCTGGAAGAATCAAGGCCAAAATCTGTACTAGTTAACTCACTATCAATATGTATATCTTTGTTAGACCCCAGGAGGCTTAATTTAGGGACATATCATACGTACAATCGCCAGCTGAATCATGGATCTGCAGTAAGTGGTAGTCCAACCACTGTTGAGGGGATGCTCGAAAGCTTAGGTAAGCCCCTTTTTAGAATTCTAGTATTTTGTGGAACCTATTGTAAGTCTTTTATGCAACGATGCTTCTTTGTGGATTTTTGTATGTTTCTCATATGCGTAAATCCAGCCTTATTTGGTCTGTTAATATTTGTCAAGTGAGGAACTTCTCAAGTATCTTGATAGGTATATGTTGTTACCTTAATTTTAGTCTTCCAAGAATGAGGTTATGACAGGTAACATTTGTGTAGATCTTAGGAGTATTTCTAGTGATAATGATTGAACATTTGCTATCCTTGTCAGGTGACCTTCTGAAGCTTTTGGATGTTTCATCAACAGACAATGTCTTGTTAACCACATATGGAAAGTTGCAGCCACCTCTTGGCAAGCACCGTTTAAAGGTTACCTCCGTCTTCTTTTTCATGTATTATTTTGGAAATATGAAAGCATTCTTTCATTCCCACTCTTTAATTCATATGCTGAATCTGGATTTTTGTCTTTCCTTTGCAAGTAAATTGTTGTTAGTGGTTTCATACGCATGTTGACATTTTTCTTTTTGTATTGGTGTATATCGAGGATCATTTTTTAACTTGACATCTTTCAACTTAAATTTACGTACAGATTGTGGAATTCATCTCAGTCATCCTAACCATTGGCAGTGAAGCTGCTGAGAAGGAATTAATTCGACTTGGAGCCATCCAGAGGATTTTAGACTTGTTTTTTGAGTAAGTTTTGGTCCTAGTTTGCATGTCTTGATTTTCTGACCCCTGGTTTATTCACTCATTTTCTGTATTTCTAGGTATCCCTACAATAATTTCTTGCACCACCATGTAGAGAGCATTATATTTTCGTGTTTGGAGAGCAAGAATGGTTGTCTTTGTGAACATCTTTTACATGAATGTAATCTTGTGACAAAAATACTTGAAGCTGAAATGAATTTCACATTGGCAACCGATTCAAGCAAGGTACATAAACATCTTGGCTTTGACTGGTGTCTTGAGATTCTCATTTTACGGATTCATATTATGATGTCTGATCACTTTTGTTTCAATTATTGCAGCCAACTGTCCCTGCTGAGGGTAGATCGCCACCTAGGATAGGGAATATTGGACACTTGACACGTGTTTCTAATAAACTGGTTCAGTTGGCAAATAACAACTCTGCTGTTCAAGCACTTCTGCAGGTTAATATAATTTTTGTTAGAGATTTAATTAAGACTTGACTGCTTGTAAGCTGAAAAGTTTGTTAATTGAGAAGTTTTTGTGCATTATTGTTCATTTTAAGTAGGTTCAATATGCTTCTTTATTATGAATAATTTGTTAAATTTTGTTCGGATTGGTTATGCATGACAATCTTTCATCTGTTTGACTTTGTTCTTATCTTATTGTTGCAGGAAAGTACTCAATGGATTGATTGGCAAACAACTGTGTTGACCAAGCGTAATGTGGTAGAAAATGTCTACCAGTGGGGATGCGGGTAGGCTCTCTTTTCTGTATAGTGAACAATTAGTTCTTCTAGCCTACAGTCTTCTTGATAAAATGAAAAAAGAGGGAAGGATAAGGAGAGAGGAAGTATAGTAAATTGTAGCCTGGGTGTCTTTGCAACTAATTTCAAAGCTTGTTAGAGTACAAGATATTTTCGGAGGACAGTTTTCAAGTGTGGTGACATGTAAGTTGGCCGATTAACTGATGTGCCATCAACCTAAAACCTCTATTTACAGCATAGTGGTGGTATATGTTGTCTTCAATATCCTGTGTTTCCTTTTGGCTAACTTTACACTTTTAGCACATAAACATGTAGTTTTGCTTAAGAAGATCAACAAAGACACTAGTAGCAGTCGGTTGTTAGTGATGTTTTACCTTCTTGTATCTTCTCTGGTGATCTTACTGTGTTTTTGCTCTTGGACCTTTCACGGAGCTTTCTTCTTAGCATATGTGTTCTTGTAACAGGAGGCCAACTACTCTGCAAGACCGGAGAGATAGTGATGATGATGATTATCAAGATAGAGACTATGATGTTGCTGCTCTTGCAAATAATTTGAGTCAAGCATTCCGATATGGTATTTACAACAATGACGACATGGATGAGGTATGCAATACGAAAGGATGGGGAAATTGTTGACAATAATGGAAAATTTAGCATGCGTTGTAGGAAGAACCGGTCAGCACTGAAGGCTTTTCTTTGTCATTCTTGTGTGCCTCATTGTTACTGGCACTATCTGATTGTCCCTCATTGTTACTGGATGTTGTGCCTTCCATCAGCTGATCTAGTCAAATGTTTTGGTCTCTATATGGTTCATAAGAAACTCGTAAAGGAAGATAAAAGAAACTACAATAGTGGTGCAACAGCTTCAAAGCTTTCTTAGATTGTCTCCCCTATTGTGGATGGAAACCAGTTTGAGGTTATTAAACAGTATTCACCTGCTAAAACTTTTTTATGTCCATTGTAGGTGCGTGGCTCACTTGAAAGAGATGATGAGGTAAAGTTCGTTGCTGGTCAAGCCAAATACCTATTTCCACTGGGAAGGAATACTACGTAAATAGTTGCTTTCAGATTCAGAGTTTTTTTTCCCTCATTTACTCATTCTGGCAGGATGTCTACTTCGATGATGAATCTGCTGAAGTAGTCATATCTTCTCTGCGTTTGGGTGATGACCAGGACAAGTGAGCCTGTTACTGATTCCTCAATTGCTAGTTTTTTTGCTACTATTCCATATGCATTTTATGTTCTTTCATGATTTGTCGATAGAAGTTGTCTTGCCATAATTAATACGTCATTAAACGAGGGGGCTTCTGATTTTTTGGAGACATTGCACTGTAACCACACATCAGAAAGCAATACAAAATCAGTCATTTTGCATGGTGGTGTGATTGTTTTGGCCATGCTGCTTATAATATCACAATTGATTTTCTTTCCGGGAAATGCAGTAGGATCTTAGGAGGATGACGCTTTCTTTTTCAATTTCTGGTTATATATGAAAATCTATCTCACATATTTCCTTAGCATTACTGTCTTAGCTCATCCTAGTTGTCCTTATTTGCTCTACTGGTTTGTGGCTGAGTTGTGAGGTGTGTTTGGTATCTTGCAGCAGTTCGCTATTTACAAACTCCAACTGGTTTGCTTTCGAGGATGACAGAGCTGCAAATGAGCGGTCTGCTGGTGCACCTGCTTCTTCCTCACCAAATAATAATGACGAGGGTGGGACTGGTGGTGCTGCCACTGATATTCGCAGCACGGAGAATGTGGCAGCAGCTAGTGAAGACGATGATTTAGGTGACACAGCCACTTCTTTACCACCATCAGTTGACGAATGCAACAAGAACCTGGACGAGACGTCTGCGAACACTAGTCTGTCTAAAGACTCGAACGAAGAATCGGAAACTGGAGTAAATGATAATAAACCACCTGCTTGGGTTGAATGGAGGGAAACACCAGATGATGTTGATAATGGTTCACCATCTGGTTCAAAGCAACCTCCTCCACCTCCCAACAGCGAGCTTCAAATAGACGCAGCAGTAAATCAGGTGGAGGGTGGTCAGGATGGCAGTCCAGAGTCTGTTGGTGAGCAGCAGTCTTCTACTTCTCCAGCTGAATGCCCCTCAACTGACTCGGCCAATGAGAACCAATCTTCTAGTGGTACAAACCCTATTGCTTATGGTGATGCTGATGGCAAGACTGCAGATGTAGAAACAGTTGAAGAGAAGAATGCTGGAGAAATGGCTAAAGATGATGAATGATGACGATGACGATGACATGGAAAAGAGCAACTAAATGTGAAGAATTATTCTTGACTGCAGAATCAATCATTGGTTATAACTCGGTTTAACTCATGCTCTGTGCCAACTGGATTGGGTTGGAAGAAGATGGGTGGATTGAGGAAAAGGAGCTCTCTGTTGAGTGACTAGTTGACTCTACTTCAGAGCCTCCTTTGTAAATTTGTTGCAAGGATTTATTGTGTAGGGATAAAAGAAGTATCAATTCTGTCTTCCTCAGCTCACAGCTTGGACGTGAGGCTTGCCACCGCCTCCACCCGCCCCTCAAAGGAAGACGGTAGTTGACCATTTTCTTCTCCTTTTTTGTTCCCCCACTCCAGTTATAAATTTCATTTTCTTTTTCTTTTCCCTCTATTTTTCTTTTATATATATTTTCCCACTTCAGGTGATCCAATGTTCCTATTCATTGATAATTGTTTAAGGCTGTCGAAGCTTTGGTCGCCCTTTCCTTCCACAGGTCTTGTTTAAAAACTGGAATTTGTTAGAATGTTAAATCACATGGGATTTTGTAGCACATTGATCTGTTCATATTTATGACCCATGCTTTGGCCTCCTCCCTTCGCCGCCCTTGTTTTCCAAGTTCATTCTGCATTTGGCCGTCTTTTAGTAAACTTGTTAATCAAGGTACTATGGGTAAACAGAACTCTGTAACTAGGATCAGAACCGAGATGAGGGGCAAGGCCCAACGTCTCAACAAGAAACACAGAATAAGCTCTGTTAACTTTAAGGTACAAGCTCTCATGGCTGCTTTGCTGAAACATAAACAATACATTGAGTGAAGGTCGATCTTGGGAGAACTAACGATTCTCAATTATCCATCGTTAAGTTTTGAAGGCTTTTTACACGAGTATTGTTTTTTTTTTTTAATTTTACCACAAATATAGTGGTTTAAAAACAATTCACAAGGATATTGTGTTTTTTAGGCACAGAAAGGGCGAATCCGCGCGAGCAAATTTTTTTAGCTAGACTAAGGCATTTTCGCGCGAGCTGTGTAAAAGAATATACCTTCTCGCGCAGAAATGTTGGGCTGTTGTATGTACTGGTTTTTGTACTTCTTCTCGCGCGGATCCACTTGGGCGACCATTAAAGCTCGGATTGCAGCCTCCTCGCGTGTTTCTTATCCCAAGACAATTTCTTTCTCCTATCCATATAAGCGGGTTTCAGTATTCTCACCACAAAAAATTTATATTACGAAGAGCTGCTGGTTGCTGCAAAGATAGCTAGGTAAGAGAGACATTTTTTTTACTTTGATTCTTAAAATGTTATTATGATTTTGTTTAGTTAGTAATTAGTTAATTTGATTTTTATGTAGTGATTTTAGACGATTTAAATTAATAATTCGGTGGAAATCGGAAAAAGTAGAGAACAATTTGGGCGTCGATTTCGTTGGGGGTAGAAGTTTTCAGTTGACAGTTCCATGCAGGGTGACATATCATCAATTTTGTGAGAATCTTGTTCCGAGGATATGGCGTAATGACGAAACAGTACAAGATAGTAATATGGTCACAAGTTTCAGTTACAAACTTCCAGAATGGTAGAATGATGTTCTATTTCAATAGGCGATCCCTATTATGGACGATGATAGCTTGAATGTGCTTTCCAATTTTATGGCACAAAATCTTATTGTTTGGGTGCTGAAATACATGCTGAAATTAGTTAGGGTGAAGATTAGACATGAAGTGTGTCATCTGATAATGACTAGTAAAATCTATCTAATCTAAACATCTAATCTAACTAGCTAATGAACTTTAAAAAATTGTTTTTATGAAAGACTTACCTCGTTTGTCCAAAGTGAGTCGGCACAATGTTGACCATGTGCCCACAGAAGTAACGAATCGATCAGAGCTGGATTAATTGTCGCAGGTGGTTGCCTCATGGAATAAGTATCCATAATCCTAGGAGCGAAAAACAAATAAAAAAAATTTATTTTAAAAAAACAACAACTCGCCGCCAGCGAGGTTCCCTCTGCCGGCGACCTTTCACTTACGTTGGTGCTGGCCGCGACCTCGCCACCCTCTCCCACGACCCCTTTATCCTTCGACAACGCCTTCCTCTTCGCCAGAATCATGGTCGGAGTCAACCATCTTTGTTCTCGCGGGTTCGCTTCACATCCACACTAAAAAAATGGCTCTCGCGAAATCGCGCATTTTCTCCTTCAAAACACAATATCTCTGTCAATTGTTTTCAAACCGCTATATTTATGGTAAAACTAAATAAAATCATTTTTATATAATATCTATGTGGCAAGTTCAAACATTTTACTTCTTGCCACGTCATAAGAAATCATCCATCTCACTTAATATTTTGCCACGTTTGAGTCAACTAACAATTGACCGAACGAAAAGTTAACACTTTGACTATTTTATTGTTTTTGAAAACATTTGACTGTTATTTTGTTTAAAATGAAATGTTTGGTATTAAACTGTAGACTCAAATAGTCATTATAAACTTCAAAGGTAGTAACCTACTGCTAATATGAATGCATTAAATTAATCATCTAATGAGTTGAAACTATATAGTAAAAAATAATCTAAATCAATAATAGGTAAGAACACATAAATTATTAAATACTAATTCATTAGTAACTAATATAAATCTCAAAATAGTTTGAATTTTTAAGAGCCGACATTAACATATAATGATAGTTTAAGAGTATTATAGTTGTCTAATCTCAAATCTTCTAAATATATTTTAGACTTTTGATTAAATAAAGCACTCTAGGCTCAAAAGTAGTTGGATTTCCTTCTACATTATATAATTATATGAAACATTTGTATTTTCTTCTTTAACTTTTATTTTAACTTCTTTTATATATAAACTAAAAATTAATATTATGAAACAGAGACAAAGAATACAAGATATATTTGTGTTTGACCTCGATTAGTATCGGGGGATTTGTGTGGAACCTTGATCCGGACTCCCTCGTCTGATCTCCTCGGGAGTGGATGAATCCTGTGGAGAGTCGGGGGCGGCCCCCGTGATCTACACGCCGACGGTCAAGTTAGAATAGAATATAAGGTAGTGATAGAGAAATGTAGAGAGATAGAGTTTAGAGAGAGAACCATCAGAGTTAAAATGTGGGAAGGGAGAGAAGTCCTTTTGCTTGGAGGGTCTGGCCTCCTTATATAGGAGTCGGAGGCATCCAGTGGACGCCTCCCGGTGGTGGGCGCCTCCCGTTGTGAACTTGTGATGGACGCCCCCGGTAGACTGGATGCCTCCCGTAGATGGATGCCTCCCGGTGATGGACGTCTTCGGGTAGAGGACGCCCCCAGGTGGACTGGACGCGTCCCGGTGTACTAGGCCCCAGAATGGGCTTGGGCTCAAGGTGAGACGCTTTGTGGTGGGCTTGGCCCCATGTTAGGCAGGTTAATACTAGACCCACCAATTTCTCCTTTGCTTCTTGTATTCTGTAAGAATGGAAGGAGTAAAATAATGCGTTAATGTGTATTAACTTGCCTTACTTGCGAGTCCGCACAATGCGGTTTTGCCCCTTGTGCGACCATTGATCAGTGATGGATGCACTGGGTGATGGATGCCTCCGGTGATGGGACGCCTCCGGGTGGACGAGACGCCTCCTAGTGATGGACGCCTCTGGGTGACAGGATGCCTCCCGGTGATGGACGCCCACGAGTGGACTGGACCCTTGCGAGTTCGGACGATGCGGTTTGCCCCTTGTGTGGCCATCGTCTTTGCTTCTTTGTTTAGCATTCGATGTCTTGAGTTAGAGCTCTCAAGTCGTTTGAGATTTCCCCACTAGCCCATTGCCGAGCGTGCTAATATGTAGGCCGTAACAGTGAGCTGTATGCGTTAAGTTGTTGGACCGCGAGATGGGCATGAGTTTGTGTGCATGTTAAGCGTGAGTTGTTGGCTGAATATTAGGCGTTAGCTATGTGTTAGGGAGGGCGGCCCCCACGACTTGAGAGTTTTAACTCAAGGCTACGTTTGTGTTTTGAAGATGCCACACCTGCTGGAAGGCGTGATCGTGCTAGCTATACCGATGTCGCGCCTACTGGGAAGTGGATTCGGGCTTCTACGTCGAGGGGAAGCATCGCTCAGGAAGCGGGATGCAGTTTTATATCTGCGAAAGATGTGAGTGACTAGTGCCCCATATTTTTAGAGCACAGATATAAACATAGCATGCGTGAAATATGTCATGGTATAGTGAAAATGATTCTCTTCATGGCATGACATGACATATGAGATATATTTTGTCTAGCATGATTCGTAATAAGCATCTTTATGGAATATGATATAAGATGGGAACTTAGCTATAGGAGACGCAGCAGAGAAGTTTTAAATTATTGGAGTCGCATGTATATGCACAGATCGACCTTGTGGCATACTGGTGGGAGTTGTTGATAAGTTGGAAGCGTTCACGACTTCGATTCACGGCGGAGACGTGCTCCATTTTTTTTTAATAATGTAACCCAGATTGGGCTAATGAAGACGAAGCGGGCCTGACTGCGATGCGGTCTTAGATTGGCCACGTTTGATCAACTTGAGGCGATGTAGCAGGCCCGTGATGCGGTGGGAGCTGCTGATAAGTTGGACGCGTTCACGAGTTCGATTCATGCTGGAGACGTGCTCCATTTCTTTTTAATAATGGAACCCGGATTGGGCTAACGAAGAGGAAGCGGGCCTGACTGCGATGCGGCCTTAGGTTGGCCGCGTTTGATCCGCTTGAGGCGATGTAGCAGGCCCGTGATGCGGTCTTAGATGGGCCTTGATGGGTTGCGTTTGATTCGCTTGAGGCGAGGGAGCTCATGTGTGAGCGAGGTCATTATTGAAGGCGTTGGTGTCGAGCTTTGTCTGGTCTTAGGCGGGTCGCGAAACTCTGTGTTGAACGCGTAGATGGGCTAGAGGAGGTCCTGGGCCCAATATAGTTGGGTGGCCCAATTACTAGGCGGTTGTCTTTGAAGGCGAGTTGGACCTAGAATGTTATAAATACGAGGCGTCCGCCAATCTAGCACACTTCTTCTTGTAGTGCACTGGTTAGCTGCCTTCCATTTGATCGATAGGTGTCGGTTTCGTAGCTTGATAGAAGCGTTTCCACTTCTTTGTTTTTTTAATTAACTAATTAAGACTTGCATTTGATTGGGCCTTCGCGGGCGGTCCTTAACGAGAGGCAGATTTGGACTTCGGAGGCTCAGTTGGGCATGGGCCCTTGATGATGGAGACAGTCTTGATATTGACTTCTTTCTTGGACGCGGGGTGGGCCGGATGCGTTGCGGACCCCAAGCTGGAGACCGGCTGCGGGTCGAGTCCTTGAGTAGGTCGTGCTAGCATTGAATGTGAGGCTTGCCCCATGCTTGATTCTTAGGCGGGCCTATGTTGCATGACAGAAGGCGGGCCTGTGTGAGGTGTGCGATTGCACTGTTGGTGAGCCGTATTGGCTGGACTAGGGTAAACCTAGAAATTATTGAAGTAGAGCAGGTTGGGTGAGCCTCCTTTGCTTCACACTGCTTCATTCTTTTCCTTTCTCTTTGTTTGTTTTGTCGATCCAATCTTCAAGGCGGGTAAGTGCCATTTGTGTTTTTCTTCTTGTGACGCGGTCTTCGTCCAAGGCGTTTCAGACGCGTCTGTTGCCTTGATATTTGTGTGCATTGATTTTTGTGGCAGTTTTCTCTTTCTGACGAAGAGAGAGAAGTAGTCGGTCAGTTTTTCTGACGGTAGGAGAAAACAACTAAGTTGTGGCTATTGCTTCTTCTTGATTTGTGGTGATCAACCCTATGTGGTTGGCATGGTGGCACCGTGACAGTACCATGACAGTGACTGTTCGCCTGAGCTCCGGGACCAAATCGATCTCCGGTGATCGGGATCTGGGAAATCACCAAAGTGATTCGCTTCTTTTTGGCTGCTCGTTGTTTTTTTTTTTGGCGCAGATTAGTAGCGTCGGCGGGAGTCTTTTGGAGAATATGGTGGCAGAGGCCAACGGAGCGAAGGAGACCCCGACGCCGGTAGAGATGAGAAGTCAGACGATGACCGGTGATGATGGCGGGTTGTGCAGGTGTTGACAAGCGGCTGGGAGAACCGTTGTTGCCGACCTGATCTGATTTCTTCCCCTCTTTCAGATATCAAACGAAAGGAGTACTAAAATCTTAGCCCCACGGTGGGCACCAAAATGTTTGACCCCGATTAGTACCGGGGGATTTGTGTGGAACATTGATCCAGACTCCCTCGTCTGATCTTCTCGGGAGTGGAAGAATCCTGTGGAGAGTCGGGGGCGGCCCCTGTGATCTACACGCCGACGGTCAAGTTAGAATAAGATATAAGATAGTGATAGAGAAATGTAGAGAGATAGAGTTTAGAGAGAGAACCATCAGAGGTAAAATATGGAAAGGGAGAGAAGTCCTTTTGCTTGGAGGGTCTGGCCTCCTTATATAGGAGTCGGAGGCATCTAGTGGACGCCTCCTGTTGTGATGGACGCCCCCGGTAGACTTGACGCCTCCCGGTGATGGACGCCTTCGGGTAAAGGACGCCCCCGGGTGGACTAGACGCGCCCGGTGTACTAGACCCCAGAATGAGTTTGGGCTCAAGGTGAGACGCTTTGTGGTGGGCTTGGACCCGTATTAGACAGGTTAATACTAGACCCAACAATTTGTGACCTAGATAATTAGATACTGATACCGATAGAATAATTATTTGTCTCTAACAGCAAGTTTTCTTGTTGTGAGTCAAATATATGGAAAGAGCAAATATATAATGTAATCTTGTGCATTACATAATTTATGGAATAAAAAAACAACTCCAATCAACCAACTTTTTAGTTTAATTCACTCAACCTCTTTCAATCTCGTTTCAATTTTCTTTCTAAAACCATACTACTCAAAACCTTGCCCATTAATCTCCTGCTAATTAAAGAATTAATTAATCAAACTATCCTCCGTGCACTCGATATGATGATCATTTGAACTTGGACTGGAGCTGAGTGACGACATTGTTGTCGGCCTGAAGGGCCTTGGCGACAACCTCGACGGGGATCTTGGGGTTGGAGCCGAGAACCGCGGCGAGCACCGGCTGGGTCCCGGGGTTCTGGCTGTTGAGCGCGGCGATGGCGAAGGCTGTTCCCTTGCCGACGTTCCTCTGGAAGTGGGTGAGCGCCTGGGGGAAGACGAAGGCCTCGCCGGCCTGGAGGACCTTGGTGATGAGCTTGGTCTCCGGCAGGGTGGTGACGAAGCCGACCTCGAGGGTGCCTTCCATCACGATCAGCATCTCGCTGGCCCTGGGGTGGATGTGGGGCGCGTTCACCCCGCCGACGGCGAAGTCGAGGCGGACCATCGACACGCCTTGCGTGTTCAGCCCGGGGATCTGGTTCACCGTCACCAGCGTCGCCTTAAACCCCGCCGGGTTGTTGGTGTCGCCCGCCTTGTTTAGCCCGCTGAAGGTGAAGTCGTCCGCCGACACCGACTGCGGCGCCTTACAAGCGAACCCATTCATCGGCACTGCATGATGTTCATATATGTAGACAATGATAAATATCAGTAATTAAGCGGTATGGTCGCTACTTCGGTACACTCAATTTTTTGGGTGCATTCAACGCACCAAACTCTAAAAGTGGTCATAATACATCAAATTCTGAAATTTAATGTGGTAGCATTAGTCTAATATGATGATATAACATAAAATCACAACTAATTAATCCATTACCCTCACCTATTAATCTTGAATTTTGAATTCCAACCCAAAATCCCAAATTGTAAACCCTAACTCTAACATCCTAAACCCTAAATCATTCAAATTAGAGTGCATGTTGAATGATTCTTGTACAAATTCATCTGGTTTCTGTTCATCATACCACAAGTGATGATTGACATCATTTTCATATTAATCGCCTGTTCATAATGACGATTATGAGGCGGGTGCACCCAAAAAAATCGGTGTACCGAATACGCCACCATATATATATGGATGATTCTATCGTACACCAGACAAAATCGTGGGTATGTCGTATAATTTCCACCGTCCGCATCCATCTCAACGGCCAGCATATAAATGAAGTAATTTATCTTTTAATAAATAAATATCCGCATTAATGCTGAACGTTCAAATGGACATAAACCGTGGAAATTGCTGGTGTACCACATACCTCAAGTCTCTTGTGTACCATTGAAAGTTTATATATATGCATTCCACAAAACATTATTTGTGCGTTGCCGTCTAGGGAATTCATACGCATACCTCCGCCCTTATCGGCGACGCAATAATCCTGAAGCGGCTTGTCGTCGGTGGCGAGAGCCGGGGACCAAGCTAGTGAAAGAAGCGTGATTAGAAAGACGACAACGTAATCGGCGGCAGCCATTGCTGACGTTTTGCTCTAGGTTTTATTTGATGATGATGTATATAGAAGGGAGTGGAGAAGGGGTGAATGATGAGTTAGTCGTATAAATATGTTTGGGGAAAGGCTCCACGACCGATAACAATTCCTTAAGTAACGGTAGAAAGAAAGGTTCAAGTGTTTTTTCTTCCGGGATCCGATATATATTCCTCCACCCTCCGCGCTTGAAGGAGGTGATCAGCACATGCAAGGTGGTGGATCAAATGCACTAGATGCTATATAGTACTTCTCTATTTTGGTTTGCCTTGCCCACCTAAGTATTTATAGGGAAAATGAATTTATTTTCCGTTTGGAGGTAACATAATATTTTTGGGTTCTTTTGTTCACTCATATATATAGCATCTCTAGTGCTAGTGCTTTGTGATGAATTAATTGAATTTGTCATATAATGTTTTGTTTCAATCAAATTTTTTTACACTCGTAGATGAACTACCCACTAGATGGACTACTATTAAACTTTCAGTCTTTCACGGTCGTAAATGGACTAGACAGAAAATTTTCTAAAATACAATGCATTGTGTGTCCTTTTCTATAAATTAATACTCACCATCACAACTACATTAGCAAAAAAAAAAAACCAAAATGTCTGATATTATAATTGACTTTAAATCCACCAGAACAATATGCTTCAAAATTAGAAACCATATAATACATTAAAGTGAAACACCAAAACATTGGTACCTAACATATAATCAACAAAATAACCCAAACATCAAAATTATTATTAAATTATCAATAAAATAACATATCAATCACAATTCTCAACATACTTTTCCTCTCACATTTTTCTTCCATTTTCCTCCATAAAACAACATTTTCCCTTCTACTTTCTCTCCCCTCAAATTTTCCCTCTTCTCTCTCATTTTCCTTCCTTCCTTGAAAACAAGGGGTAAGACCCCTGTGTTTTTATCATCATGATATCACTTGTCCACAGATGTGGAGGTGGATTTATTCACCGTGTAGGCAAATCATTCATTGACTTGATTATGAAGCTTTGAATAGATGTATCGAGCATTGCCCAAAGTCAATGTCACCTTGCTCTGGGCTCTCGCACTGAGTTGGACCAAAGGCCCTGCGGGTCATTAAACAATCCCAGTCCATTACCCAAATATAATTGGCGATAAACATCCAATGAGCCCAGTCGACCTCACTGTTATGTAATTAATTAATTAGTTAATAGCGCAAGTATCATGATTAATTATCATAAACGGTCACAAAACTATTCACTTTGTACAAAACGGTCACAAACCTTTAATTTTGCACGTTTCAATAACATATGTTTGGACTAATAACAAAAAAGTAATTCCGTCCATCTCCATCCAAAACTCCGTTAATTTACTTTAGTCAGCACGCCATGTCATCAACAAATAATATTAAAAAAATCAATAAACCAAACCAATTATACCTAATCTAACCAAACTCAACCCCACCCAAAAATTATACCCAAGAAAAACACAAATTCAATCGAAAACAGACTCAAATATGCCTTCCCCTCAGCGGCGGATCCAGGATTGGGTAGAGCACTGAGCCACATTGGAAAAAAGCAGAGAAGGCTGGGCCGTAATACGACGAATACTGAAACGAACACCAAAAATCGAAAATTTACACGTGCTATACTAACTACGGATCGAGGGAGGGCTGGGCCGTGGCCCGGGGGCGGCCCCCCTAGATCCGCCGCTGCTTCCCCTCTTTAACCCTAATCCGAGACTCATCCTCACGATCCAATCCCCATCTCCCAATTCAAAATCCAATCCCATCTCCTAATCCCCGTCTTTCGCCACCACCAGGTCCCTCTGACAATTTCTCGAGTTGAGCAAGTTGATACTCCGCGTCTCCACGGTGACGATGGAAAAGGGGATGGGATTAGGTGCTAACCCTTATAAGGGTTAGCACCGTGATAACTAGCAAAAAACGCTACTAAAAATAATGAAATCACTACGGATTATTATAAAATCAATACAACATCTAAGCTAAGTCACTACTAACCATTGGTTAGGACGGTGCTAACTCTTGTACAATTAGCACCGTAACTCCTCCCTAGAAAAGGCGGTGAGGATTTTGCTTTCGGTGGGGCAGTCGTTGGGGTTGCGGCGAAGTTGTGTCTGCTGCTACAAGTGGAGAGCAGCGAGAGGGCGAAAGGCAAGGGCGAAGCTGTGTCTCCAATCTGTTTTTTCTGAACAGATTTATACACAGGGCATAAAATTGTGCCCTTCTGAAATCTCAATGAACCATTTTTCTATTCAAGGGAAGATCTATACGCACTTTGTTTGTTCTTTCCATAAGATGAAATTTAAGAATAAATTTGAATTTTGGATTGGGAGATGGGAAATGGGGATTGGATCGTGAGGATGATTCTCGGATTAGGGTTATAGAGAGGGGAAATATATTTGACTCTGTTCTCGGATTGGGTGTGTATTTTTATTGGGTATAATTTTGGGTGGGGTTGAGTTTGGTTTGTTTGGGTATAATTGGTTTGGTTTATTGATTTATTTATTAATATTTGTTGATGACATTGCGTGTTGATTTGACTAAACAAATGGAATTTTGGATGGAGATGGACGGAATTACCTTTTTGTTATTAGTCCAATTATATGTTACTGAAACGTGTAAAATTAAAGGTTTGTGACCGTTTTGTACAAAGTGAATAGTTTTGTGACTGTTTATGATAATTACCCCAAATATCCTCCACTATTCCTCGCAACATTTTCTCCATAAGTACTGTTCATTAGTGCTATTCTTAGCTGCAGCCGAACCCAATCTAGAGAAAACCAAAATCTTTGCAACATTTTTTACCATCCATTATTATCATAAACACCAAGTTCACCCCTATGATTCTTCCAAGCAAACCGACCGAAAAAATGCTTCCGGAGAAAACCAAAACCCATTACCACTGTTAATTTTTGTTTGTATACTTACTATATGATTTAAAATTCTTAATTTATAGAAAGATAGATATTTCTTATATGAATTTTTAGCTCCATTACGATTTTAAAATCCTTCATTTATAGAAAGATAAATATATATTGTATTTTTAATCCTTCTACTTAAGGGGCAAAGAGAATGTATCAATTAAATAAACTAATTACGTAAATATGTCGTAATATAAGTTTAAACAAATCAAATTTCTTTATTATTAACTTAATTGTTGAAGATATCATTAATTAGTTTTACACAAGGTTCTGCAATGACACTTATTTTTTACATAATAGTTAATAAAATTTGGTGATTTGTAGCTTAATTAATTTGTTATTAACTAAAATATTCATCATATTACCAATTTACATTACACAAAACTTTCGTTAGGTCGGTTAACTTTAACATAATAATTTAATAAGATCTGTTCTTTTTGTAATTTATTATAGAAGATTTACACAACTTCATTCCATAATATTAATATAAATTAAAAATACATTATGTAAATTTATAAAGCAATGATTATTTCTTATGTATCAATTTAACAACTAAGTCTTCCATATTGATTAATACACTATGTAATTCTTATGGAGGGAAAATTATTTTTAATGTATTAGTTAAGCAAAGGTATTACATAAGTCTTCCGTAATATAAATTTAAACAAAAATATACATATTATAATTAAAATTTTGATCATCTTATCAAATTACATTACACAAATGTTCGGCAAGGCCATTATGTGATCATTTTATCCAATATAAATAAATTGCTTTATTATTAACTAAAATATTCACAATTTCATCAATTGTGTTACACAAAAATTATATTAATTCAATTAAATTTTATCAAAATTTTCAAAAGGAGGTTATACTTTATATAAATTTATTTTATTATTAGGCCACACAATACATATAATTAAAAAATACTATTATATAGCAATTATGTAAATTAAAAATGCATTGCAAAAAACATATGGATGTAAGGTTATTTCTCACGTATCAATTAAACATACACAATACATAAATCTTTCATAATATATATTTGGAAAAAAATTGTGTTATTATTAGCTAAAGATCGATCATATCATCAATTTGTATTAAGCAAAAATTCTTTAAATTAAGCAATTTTCACATAATAGTTTAATCAAATATAATATTTCTTGCACTAAATAACTTTATTATTAACTGAA